TCTTCTTGCCCACACGACAACTTGCTATTATTCCTGCGGTGGAGCTGGACCACCGCAGTTGGACTCAGGTCCTCGAGGTCTTCCACGCTAGCACGATTACTCCCTCCACGATTTGGACTCGTCACATTATAATCGATGCCCTCGTGGAGATTGATGAGAGGCTAAGCCGCCCCCTCCTCTCCCCGCTTGTGATCGAGTCGTACGGCGTACAACAAGGTAGGCTAGGGCCTAGAGTACTTTCGGCGTGCAGAACAGAACATGCACTTCTTATAATATGTACATACGACCAAGCGGACCTTGCATTGCCAGTGAATCATGGCCAACCGACTGGCTTGCGTCTTCCGTGCCCACAGTTGACTTTTAAATGGTGCCTACTTCTCACTCCACTTCGCAATCTTCGAACTACTGGTCTGAGTCCATTCGACTTTGGGTCGCGGGGGGGGGGGGGTGGAAGGCGGATATTCTTAGATCAACGCGAAGCGAAATGACCTCAGCCAGGCTTCAATCTCGTTCGCAGCAGAGCACAATTCCGTCCTTGTCTTTGAGTTCCGGAGACATGTCGATCTGCGACCACATTTGTCTTGGATCCGAACGGCGAAGAATAATGTTTGGAGCCGGGAGGGAGACTATCAACATTCGAGAGAAACCGTACTGTCCATCGGGCCAGACCCTCTCACAACCCTTTCTCCCTGGCGGCCATCCCGCGCCATCCCGCTAGCTGTCCGCCCCCCTCGCAAGTTTCGAGGCGACCATGGGCGGAGCAGGTAGGCCACCGTCTGCCCAAAGGGAAGTCGGAAAAAGTGACGAGCTGCAGGCTGCAGGACCATCCCTTTTGACCACCAATCGTGCGGTTTCAAATGGCGCTCTAGAGCGTGCAGTCTGCATGACCCCCCTGGATCGAGTAGTATCCCTGTTCCGGAAGCCAAAGAGAAGAGGGGTGCAAAGACAAGTCTCTTCATCTCTCTTCATCTATTGATCTCATCCATGGTTCACCGCCGCTGGGAACCCGGACTCCGGGGCGTTTAAATATTACGGCTTAGTCCGGCCTGGTCGTTTCAGATTGTGGTCCCCTTTCCTCCAGTCTTCCTTCCTTTCGCCGCTCTTTTCGAATCGTTCTTTGATTATTTTCCTGGTCTCGGGTTAGACACTCTTTTACTATTCCAGTCATTATTCTCTCGTTAATATCGCGCCCCGCCCTTATTAAGCTGGCTCCATTGGGGGTCTTGACTCGCTCTCGCTAATCCAACTCCGGGCATTTTTTCGGTCGGATCCACTCTCCCTTGGCTGTAGTGCCCCGGTGGACAGCTTAGTTACGCTCCCTTAAACCATCGCGTCGTCGTTTCTGTGTCGAGACATTCTTCATTGCATCATAAAATTCTTTAGACCACAACAAACATCAACGGGGCCATCGCCGGCAACTGCGGGTTGTCAATCGCTCCATCGAGCGGTCCGTTTGTGTGGTCGCTTGGTGCCCCGAACCGAGCTGATGATCGAAGATCATCTTGAATCTCCATTCTTCGTCGTCTCCAGTCCCAGACCCCCCAGTCGGGCGTGAGCGTTTTGTCTTTTCTGTTCTTCAATCTACGTTTCTTGCTTCTTGTGAACTCCTTGTCGATTATAACGCCAGCCTTACCGGGTCGCCGCCCGCAGGTTTAATCGACAGCCCGACCTTAATAACTGGTGTATAGTGATAATAATGAACTAATCTGCACAACATGCGCTCGACTGGACCTTCAACGAGTCTCCCAGCACGGAGAGCTCTCCACGAGCGCAATCCGTCCCAGACGAATGAGTCCTCCCCACCTGCGTCCCTCCGAGCCACGAGTGATAAACACGCCGGTCAGGAAGAACACGATGTGTACTCAGCTACGCCGTATCCGACCAAGCCCGAGCAGATTCTCCTCCCGCGGCCCGGAAAAGGACATGAATTTATCCCGGATGCCCGATTCCATCTCGACGAAGCACCGGATCATTATGCTGGGAATACCTCGACGGAGTTAAGCCACATTGCCGACAGCAGCTTTTTTCAGCGGTCCGCCAGTGATCCTTGGGATTTATCCTCGACGTTCGATGCCGCAAACACCCCGTCGCAAGTATGGGAAGACGATCCGTTGTCGAGCAAGTCATCATTCCCCGATCTCTTGCCTCCAGAAGACAAACCCACCGGCCCCAAGTCCGATTCCGCTTCTATAGCCGCTTATTCAGATGAGGAACCGAATACATTACCCCTGGTCCCTCCAACAATCAAGCCCGTGATGTCACGAACCTCATCGCGTCACCCATCTGGTCCGGAAACCCTTGGCTCAGGCCATTCTAGCCCGAACGTGGTTCCTATCGGACCTCCATCTAGTCCGAACTTCGTGGCCCTCGACAACTCGAGTTTGAACTTTGTGCGCCTTGGTGCCTCTTCAAATCCAGGCTCGGTTACTCGATCTAACTCCTTATCGTCTTTAAATTCCTTGGGAACGGTCATCAGGTATATTGGAGCGGCTCAATGGACTCACGGTTCATCCTCCGAACAATCGAGCTCGCTTTCGCGTTCACGCTCACAATCATTCCGGTCTAATCCCTCCAATCAGGTGCACCCAGTCCAATCAAACTCAACGCTTCCACGCGGGCGGAGCCATTCTCGCTCTCTCACATCCTCATCGCGGAGCGGGCCGAATTCCGATATCCAGGCGATCGTCGACAGCGGGGTTTTCTTGCAATATCCGACAATACGCGCTCCTTCATCGTCAAGCTCAAGGGTCGATGTATCTACTTCCGAGGTTGTCGCGGAGCCCACCCCCCCGGAACCTACCACTGATTTCTCTTCGGATCGCTTCAAAACTCATTTGTCGACAGTCACATCTCGATGGTCGGCAGAGTGCGATTCGAACTATGCTGAAGGATCTAGCAACAACTCTCTGGCAGAGCCTAGACGGCCTTCTCCAGCCCTGGTCCGCCTAAAGCCAACGTCTTCATCTGTGTGGCTTGTGAATGAAGTGGAGGACTCGGACGGCGACGAACAGCAGGACGATGTGGCAAACTTGCCCGCGCGCCCCTCGAACCCAGCAGTGCCCAGCAGCCTTTCGTCCGGATCTAGATCCCGACGAAGCAGTATGCGAAGCACCAAGCGGCCGGGAACAAGTTCGACCATCCATAACATTTTGCCCAACTGGGCTAGGATGTACTATGGGCGCTCCGAAGCGCAACCTGCCCAATCAGGTTTACCCACGGTGGAAGGAAGTCGCCCACCATCCTTACGGCCAGCTACGGCGAGTACAAATGGCGCTCTTTACCGCATGCCCACAGCTCACAGCCATACTCGAACAATGACTAGTGACCTCCGAAGCGTACGGTGGGAGGCACCACCGAGCGATCCGCGCGACCCTCGAAGCCATTGGGTAAAAGATCCAGAACTCGAAAGAAGGGACACCCGCAATCGGCTACGCAGCAGCTGGTCGCCACACCTGTTGCCTGATCGACGTGCGACGGGCCCACGGAAGGGCACGCGGGGAGCTCCATCCCTCGACTCTAGGATGGAACCTCTATTCGGTCGGCGAAATATCCAAGTCTGGTCATTTTGTGTTGGGTTCATCTTCCCTCTTGGTAAGTATCAGCCTGGTACCTACGCAGTCTGACTGCAACCTGTGCTTACTCTGCGCTCGTTAGCCTGGCTGGTCGCCTCATTCCTCCCTTTGCCGAAACAACCGGAAATGGTTATGCAGGATGACCCCGAGTCCCAGCTCGAAACAAGCCTACGTATGCGACTTTTCGACCTTCAGAGAAGACGCTACGAAAATGCCCGATGGTGGAGAAAGCTCAACCGGTGGATGAACCCTTTGGGATTAGTAATCGTCACAATTGTGGTAAGTACTGCATGAGCCATGCTCCTGCTCCCTCGACTAACAATATGGCAGATCACTTTAGCAGTTGTCGGTACAACAGTGGGCTTCTAGGGTTGATCAAAACCTGAGCCCCCTGTTCTATGTTCTTTGCAAGTCCATCGCGCTTGCAGCTTCTGCCTGATCAGGGCGCCGAGGTACATCGGCTGCCTTGGCGCTCCCTGCGCCGGCCATGCCTGCGCCTGCATCGCATTGTGTATGCTCGAATTGACTTTCGCATCGCAATGCTTGGAGTCGACTCTTTTTACCTGTTTATACCCCTTCATACGCCTTGATTTCACCTGAGCGCCGCCTGCTCGATGCGCCTGCAATATACTCGCATTCGGCTTCCTCTGCCCCACGGCTGCTTGGTATATCATATTTACATATCACTCTCGACACGACTGGCATGACGTGATGTTTATAATGTTTTTTCTATTATATTTTCTGGAGATCAGTCTCATATTTCCTCGACAAATAGGTGTTGGTCCTCTATCTTATGTCTATCCGCACTATACCGAAACCGTCTATCTGGTCAAGTTCATTGGGGTTATTCGATTATCTGCAAAGTGCATGCATAGCGTTGGAATTATCTGGGGTTTCACGACGCACGATGGATATATGTTACTGTTCTTTCTTTCATTTGTCTATTTTCATGTCGCCCTTCTCGATGCCCGAGTGCTGGTGAGAATGGTTTCTCTGCGGGTTCGAGTTGGGATTCACGAACTATATAGCAAAATCAACACATAGGTAGATATATATATGACACAATGGTTAAATTAGACAACGGTGCTTAGGTAGATCATCTAGATGGTAGGCGAGATTTCTTTCAACGGATACGGAGAATGGCTGCTCAGCCTGTAATGGACCCGGTCTGATTGAGTGACGATAAACAACAGATCACGGACATTAAGCCATAGTTCAAAAAGACAACCAACTGGATTCCAAAACGTCACAAATCAAGCAGCGTCGCTCAATATTGATACAAACAAAAGGACCCGAGATGAACATGCGCAAACACGCGAGCGCCGGGAGCCAAAACACAAAATCTGAAGTTACAGAGTAAGTTCTAAAAGAGCGGCGATAGACCTTGTCTACCACGCAATCGGCGCTGAATCAGCCGAGGTGGCCAGCCTCCCCCACCCCCCGCCCATCCAGCCCGCGCATAAGTCACCGGTCTTTAAACGGCCAAATGATGGAAAAACCATCTGACCGTATTGAGTTCGCACTGGTGACACTAAGGAGAACATGAGAACATAAAGAAAGAGAAGGCGCCGATCATGTGAAGGGCGACATTCAACAATAAATGAATGACCCGTCCATACAATGCATTACCACCTCTCAAATGTAGAGGAATCCTGAGAATCAGGGAAGCTTACGCCCGATCTTGTTCTCGACCGCGACTTTCAGCTCTTCGCCCGTGGGCATAGTAGCGACACTGCCGCGCCTGCGACGGGACTCGATCTCAGATATGATCTCCTGGACAGCGTCATCAAGTTCCTGCATGGCGTCGCTGGGGAGACCGAGTGTGGGCGGTTGTTGCAGCGACTCGGTGCTGGCCGTGCGAGGGGCGTGTGGCGGGCGACTGGTGCCGCGGGCTTTAAGCTTCTTGACGAGGATAGCCTTGGCGGGGCTGGCGAAAAAGACGATCGTGAGAACATTGCTGACGATGCCGTAGAAGTAGACGCTGCGCCAGACGGCGACAGAGGTGCCGAAGGAGAGGAAGATGAAAGGCATCACCGTGAAGGACATGGTAATTTGAGTGAGGAGCCAGCTCACGATATCATAATAGCGCTTGTAGGGGCCAGGCTTGCTGCCATCAGGAGTGAGGAAGAAGGGCCGGACATGACGGCGGAAATCTGAGGTTCGATCAGTATAAAAGTTCCCGCAGTGGGTGGAGAATCTGGGCTCTTACTTTTGGCGGCGGTCTGGATGATGGAGCCGAGAACGAAGGTCATGTAGTAACCAGGGTAGAAGCCGTGCCAGAATGCACTGGTGGTGAAGGTGGCCATGCTGGCACGGAATCCAGGCTTCTTGCCCTTTGGAGTGACACGCAGGTAGACGTAGTTCCGCAACCAGTGGTTAGTGTTCTTGTTCCAGCTGCCCAGGTAGCCGTGGGAGTTCTGGGCTGTCTCGAGACTCCATGGATCCACATTCTCGAGCCGGTTCCAGAAGACTGTGCCCGACTTGGGGTCGAAACCGTTGTATCCCATGCCAGAGAGGATACAGGCACCCTCTGTCAGCGACCAGACACCATAGTACTTGCATCGGGCGGCAAAGCCGACCATGTGCATGATGAAGACCCGTCTGAGGAAGGAGTAGTTCATGTAGCCCTCTCCGAGTAAAGTGTCTCGGCTGTACAGGGAGCCTAGTTGCAGGAAAACCAGAATCCAGACTAATCCAACTAAAGCTTTCTTCGTAGCAGGCGTGCCGCTTCTGGGGATCTTTCGCTTCTTCCGGGTCGGGGGCACCTTCGAGGGATCGGTTCCAGGAGGTACATCGAACAGAGTCGTGTCAATCCAGCGGCGGTAGTCGACATAGTCGAAAGCCGGGCCAGCGAAGAGAGATGGGAAGAAGAGCACATAGCCCAGATAATCCAGAACACTAGGGAACTGAGTGATCGCGGCGTACTTCTGGGCATCCGAGAGCTGGCTTTGCGGCAACCGACCATCATGAACGTTCCAGCAAAACGCGGAAAGCTTCATGACCAGGACCATCTGAGCGCCTGTAATATCCACCACCTGCGCATCGTCGACGATTTGGCGATAAATATGATTGATGGACATGTGGCCCATCAGGAAGACGAAACCAATCCATGGCATCAAGGATCCATCGATGTAGTAGGCGATCAGGTAGATACCAGCGGAGCTATAGGCCAAAGTGCGAAGACCATCCCACAAATCGAAGAGGCCAACGATGTAGAACAGCGATACGGCGATGATGAAAACGTTCTTCTTCCAGGGCTGAGCATCGGGGATTCGCTTCAACAGGCCGGCCAAAGGATATGAGAGGAGGAATGACGCAATGAGCTTGACTGTGCCGAGGGAACCAAACAAGCGCGGAAATCAGCACTGGCGCGCAAGTCCAACAAATGGGGGGAGTATGGAGTATGTATAAACATACGCTCATCAATGGAAGCTCCTGTTGCCCTTGCGGGATAGTCGAACACTGGTACCAACAAGGGGGGGTCAGTCTACCTCTCTTTGGAGGCCATGAGGAAAGTTGGCGGCGAGCGACATACGGAGATCTATAAAGGGCAACATGATGTTGCAGGAGCAATGGAGGGAATAAATGTAGGATAGTAGTGATCAATACTAATTAGTAGAAAGGAAACGAGATATGCATGAGTGCGGTGAATAAAGACATCTGAGAAGTGGAGGAGAAGAAGAAGAAGAAGAAGGGGAAAAGAAAGAAAAAAGAAAGAAAAGCCAGCCAAAAGTGTTGAGATGCGAAAAACAAAAAAAGGCGAGCTGGTACGGATACTCAGTACGGAGTACGGATACTTACTCTCTCTCCATCACATGGGCATCGTCATCTGTTTCTTCCCGCTGCTTGGCATCTTCTTCTTCTTCTTCCCTTTCTTCTCTACATCTCCACTTCGTGTCAACAACCCGTCCCATTTCCACCCCAACGTCTTTCTTGTCGCTCACGCGCACCCCCTGTTCACATCATCCTTGATGTCGCCAATTCCTTCTGGTTCTGATTCCTGAGTTTCATCTTAACTTCGCTTGCTGCACTCCTCCCTCCTCCTCCTCTTCCTTTCCCCACTTTCCCCAACACTCCCCCGGTCGCCCAACATGGACGTTGTTGCCGCGGTTTCGGGATACATCTCCAAGATAGTCACCGCAGGCGACTCTTCGGCTTCGGCTTCGGCTTCGGGCTCTTCATCCTCGGCCAAGATGAAAATCTTGCTCCTTGACAGTGAGACAGTGGGACTTGCGCAGATCGTGTCGAATAGACGCCGTATGTGCGTGCTAACGGCTCTGGAATAGGTCCCCATTGTCTCCACCGCCATTACTCAATCCGCCCTGTTGAATCATGAAGTCTATCTGATTGATCGGATCGATAATGCTTCTCGGGAACGAATGCGACATTTACGGTGCCTGTGCTTCATACGACCATCCCCCACCTCTATCCAATTCCTGATCGACGAGCTTCGCGAACCGAGGTACGGGGAATACTATATCTACCTCAGCAATATCATCCGCAAATCCTCACTCGAGAGGCTTGCCGAAGCCGACTCCCATGAAGTCGTTCGCCTGGTCCAGGAGCACTTCGCAGATTTCCTCGTGATCAACCCGGATTTGTGCTCCTTGAACCTTGGATTCCCTCAGCAGCGGTTATGGAGCCAGTCGCCAGATTTGTGGAACCCCGATGCCCTACAGAGAGCCACGGAAGGCGTCATTGCCATCCTATTGTCCTTGAAAAAGAACCCGTTGATTCGCTACGAGAAGAACAGCTTGTTGGCCAAGAAACTGGCCACCGAGGTCCGCTACCAGTTGACCCAAGAGGAACAGCTATTCAATTTTCGCAAGACGGATACGCCGCCGATACTATTGATCTTGGACCGGAGAGATGATCCCATCACGCCGCTACTCACACAATGGACTTACCAGGCCATGGTGCATGAATTGATGGGCATCCACAATGGTCGAGTGGATCTGAGAGACGTGCCCGAAATCCGACCGGAGCTGCGGGAAATCGTTCTTTCTCAAGACCAGGATCCGTTCTTCAAGAAGAATATGTATCAGAACTTTGGCGATCTGGGCCAGAACATCAAAGAATACGTGGAGCAATATCAGGCGAAGACGCACAGCACAATGAACATCGAATCGATTGCAGACATGAAACGCTTTGTTGAAGACTATCCCGAATTTCGCAAGCTTTCCGGGAATGTTAGCAAGCATGTTACCCTGGTTGGCGAGCTGAGCAGACGTGTGGGTGAAGAGGATCTTCTGGACGTGAGTGAACTGGAACAGAGTTTGGCTTGCAATGACAACCACGCGAATGACCTCAAGGTATGCATCAATATGGTTACATCTGAACTAACCTAGCACCCAAGGATACCCGATTGACCACATATTTACAGAATCTCCAAAGAGTAATACAATTACCAAAGGTGTCAGCTGAGAGCAAGTTACGGCTAGTGGCATTGTATGCCATCCGGTATGAAAAGCAGCCCAACAATGCTCTTCCAATTCTCCTGGACCTGCTGGTCACTGCGGGCGATATTCCTTCGTACAAAGTCAACATCATCCCCAAATTACTCGCTTATCACCATTCCTTGCAGGCGCCTCCGGTCGCTGGTGGCTTCTCAGACTTGTTCGAGTCCACTTCCTTGTTCTCTGGTGCGCGAGATCGCTTCAAGGGACTCAAAGGTGTAGAGAACGTCTACACGCAACATTCTCCGCGCTTAGAAGCCACGCTTCAGAACCTGATCAAAGGCCGATTGAGGGAACTCCAGTACCCCTTTCTCGAGGGCGGGGGCCATACCCGAGACAAGCCTCAGGACATAATCATCTTCATGGTTGGTGGCGCAACCTACGAAGAAGCCAAAATGGTCGCTCAAGTCAACGCTAGCTCGCCTGGAGTGCGGGTGGTTTTGGGTGGCACAACCATTCACAATAGCACAAGCTTCCTGGAAGAAGTTGATGATGCTGTGAGCGGTTGGCCCGAGCCCGGGCCCTCGACTGCCGCTGGACGGTTGCAGAGGGCTATTGGGCATTAGGTATATTCATGGGGGCTCTATTATTAATATATCCATTGTTCATTCTCCGTCTGTAGCATGCTACTTTGCACTTTGTACCGTCAGTCTGGATTTTACAAACTCGCACTCAAGATCGCGGCGGCTGTACAGCTAAGCGGGGCTGTAATGACATGAGGCGCGATCACCAAGTAGAACTATTGTAGGTAGTTGCAGAGCCTACACAGAGTAATGTGAATCGTCTGAGACCGGCACACCAGCCAACATCATCGACCGCTCTACAGTTACAGTTATGCCGTCATTCGGAGGGCCTATCCGAAGCATTAGTCCGAGGTGCGAGAAGCATGCTTAATCATCTCGACAGCCTGCATAGGAACGCAGTAAGGAACAAGAGAAGGAGAGAGAGGGCGAGAGAGGGTATATATGTATTACGTCTAAAGAAACAGTTCTCCTTATACATAAGCTGAATCGAGGGGAGGCATTTATCCATCTATTCATTGTGTGTGCTCCTATCTCCCAATCGCTTGGCGTTTCAATCATGAGCGTTCATAACACAGGTCTCTTTGGCGTGCCAGATGCGACGCTTTTTGGCCACGTCCGCACCGAAAGTATCGGTGATGATACCGTCTGCGTCATGGAAGGCGGCCGCTTGTGCAGCCGCCGAATGGGCGTCGCCGCCTTCGCCTCCAGGCTCCGACTTGGGCGCCAGGAGGCGAAGCTCCTCGACTGTGGCGCCGAACTCATACTCGCCCCGGCAGAGAGCCGTGACGCCGACGGTGGCGGTCGTACTTTTCCCGCCATTGAGAACGGGGAGCACCTGCTGCAGCATGCCGGTCCAGGCGAGACGCCGCGAGAGGTCTAGGGCCACGTTGCTGGGCTGGTGGCGGAGACTGGGCTGCAGCCGCAGGAGGGAGTGTAGGGGCCTGTTCGAGCGGTTGAGGATCGTGACGGTGAGGTTTAGCAGCTCGTCCGTGCGGACGTCGTACTTGGAGTTTCCGGTGCGGACGGCCGCGGCAGTACTGGTTGACTCAGCATCGGGCAGCATGGGTTCCAGGGTGTAGGTCACGCCGATGTCGTCGGATCGGAACGCGTCGACCATGCGGGCGTTGAACCGGAGGTTGCGAAGGTCGATGATCCCAACGCGGCCTCCGGCTTTCTCTTTCCAGTGTCCGGATACCCGGCGGAGGAGCTCTTCGCGATACCAGAATGCTTCGCGGGAGGCCGCCTCGGCGTCGAAGGAAAGCTTGTGGGCGCTGACGACGAATTGACGCTTCACGCCCGTGTTCAGTATAGGGATTGATGCGTGGGGGTTCTCTAGGTGAACCCGAGGAAGTACGAGAACGAAGCGAGATGTTTGCCCCGGTTGCAGTTCTCCATGCACAGTATACTGGCCCTCTGAGTCAGCAGCAACGTCGTGGGCTGAAACCTGCTCAGACTCCACAGGCTGCTCCTGGACCTTTAAGGACACGGACAAAGGGTTGGGCCAGGCATTGCGCAGGTCTAGTAGGCAGATGCAGTGATCAGGTCCGTACTTGCCGTGGGCAAGATGGGACAGCACCGGTGAGATGGCACCGGTATCAAGGGATTGGCTATCGTCAGATTCGCCTTCCACCATGCCATTTTTACGATTCCACCAGGCAAAATCACTACTGAGTGGTAGGATATCACACCGTGCGATCTCAGCACTGGCATTGACCGTAGCAGTAAGCGGGACAAACAGTTGGCGGGTATAGAAGACATCAGGCAAACCGCTGTCCGACATGCCAAGGTACGAATAATCGATTTGCACGGTAGTGTCCTGCAAGCCGGGCTTTCCGATGATTTCGATGGTGAACGTAGCACTTTGACCTGCCGGGATCGAGTAGTCTTCAGGGTTCGAACCTTGCCGGCGCCAGCGCAGCGCAGGTCTGGTGAGGTTCAATTCCAGCTCATAAATTTCGACAGGAAGGAGGTCTTTGTTGCTAAGCGCTGACTGCACCTGTCTGGTTGTGGAGTCCTGGAAAGTAAATAAGATGAAATTAAGCGGGCACGGTGACGCATTGCGAAGCGTAATCTCGAAGGAGCTGAGTTCGCCTTCGAGTACCATGATTGCTGACTGGGAAAGAGACAACGACTCAATTGCTAGAGAAGGTTGTTTACCAATGACCCTGACTTCGCAGGCCGAAGTGTCAGGGCCCTTCTTGGGTATTATTGTTTTACCGTCTCTGGAGGTGGTCGAACTCCAGGACAGAGGACGATCCACTGCAGGCTTCTTAGCAGCTAGCCCTGTGCGTTTGAATTTCACTTCTGTCTCTGGCTTCCATAATGACTGAAAGATCGGGAATTTGCGCTCCCTGCAGTGCCTGACCTTGACAATGCAGCCAGTAATGTTGAGCGCACCTTCTTCAAGGGCTTGCCCGTAAACAGTGATTTTCTGCAAGGAAAGAGGAGGCACTAATACCCACTCGGCCACAGCATCCAAAGGCACGCCATCGCCATCCAGGCTGAGCTTCTCGATTTCTAGCTCGAAGTCATAAGGATTCTGAAGCGAGACTTGGAATGCCGCATATTCACCCGCAACCATCAGAACCTCAGAAGCCTTGGTATTTGCCTTCGCGAAGGGATTATAGAGAAACGGATCCTTGGCTGACTTTTCGCGATCCGCTGCAACGGCATCCAGATCTGTTTTGGAGTGACGAACAGGTCGTCTGGGATCCGGGAGGGGCAAAAGCTCAACACCCCGTACTAAGAAGTCATCCCAATATTCCGCTTCCAGCTCGGAAGCGCCTAATCTCTTGGCCGCGCCAACAGTTCGTTTGATGTTATTCAAGAGCCGAATTTGCTCGTCACGAGACAGGCAAGGCGGGTTGAGTTGGGTCTCTGCGAGCATCAGGTCCCCTCGAATAGTTTGAAGAAGTTCAACTGTGAAGCGAAGCACACCATCAAAATCTGGGAGTGCCTCACATGAGCTGATAGCTGCCTTAAGAACATCGATTTTGAGGTTGAGGTCCCCATACTGATCCAAGTTAGCATGCCGGAAAGATCGTTCGACAATTGCGGCCACGGAGTCATAGTCAGGGAAAGCATCGTTTGGACTAATAGTAGATGATCGTCTTTTTTCCCATTCGCGATACGACGATGGCTGCACGCCATATGTGTCCCCTATGACAGCGAGTAGCGAACGCATACTTTCTTCCATGTTGCCTGGGCCAAGGTCAAGAGCATTGATGTCAAACGCGGTGTCCGTCAAAGACGCCAGCCCAGCAGCAGGATGGACCCCCACTTCTGCTGCGCCAATCTTACGCGCCTGTACGAGGGTGGGAATCATAAGCGAGAGAAGTTCTCGTAGCAAAAACGCCTTCTTTCGTGGTAGATCGAGAATGTTTAAGACGGATATCACACCCACAGTGATAGGTATGGCATCAGTGGGAGGGAGATCTGACCCAGGAGATAGAGGTAACGCGCGGAAAAGCAAGTTTGCAATCTCAGACTTCCGAAGCATGTTGAGTCCACGGGGCCGCTCCGGGCGGAGTAAAGGCATCAGAGGCTCGTTTGTGACGATGTTCTTCAGCGCTACATCGTCCAAAGCACCATCACGAATTCGTGCGGCCGCCAATAACCTTGCCAGACGGACGACAGTCTCGGAATAGACTAGCTGAGGCAATGGTTCATCGGTGATATTAGCGGCGCGGTTATAAAGATTCAGTATATTGTTCGAAAGATCTGGGAGTAGGTTGGACAGGTTCTGAAGAGATATGATCCGGTTCCCTGCGGAGGACGAACTCGAGTCAAAGGTAGTATTGTATGACAGCTTCGATGACTTGTCGGACACGGGGTAGCATACAGGTGGTATCTTTTCGGCGTAAGTGACAAACAATCAGCGGCAAAATCCATCCCAAGTGACATACCTGAAAGTCCATCCCAGCCCAAGCGAGCATCAGCAGACAGAGAAGAATGGATTCCAGCGCTTTGGCATGCCACACATAGTCACTACTGGCTCTTGCATTGGATGCAGCCTCGACAAGCTCTTTGAGAGCATCAGGCCATCTGCCTGCCTGGAGAAATAATGTTCCAACAACCACACCTATACGTCCTTTGATCCGGTTTTTTGTTCGGTCTGTTGCGCTCATGCCGCTTACCGACATGCGATCACGACTGTGCTCTTTTGACGATGGGAGCGAATGTGGCTTGCTTATCGAGTTGGAGCGGTTGGCTAGTTGAATTGACCGGGTTATTTCGTCGAATGTAGTAGGCGTTTCATGGTCACCAGGAGCAGGCGAACCTTGATTAGAGCTTCGGGCCGACTCTGATGCACCGTTGGGATTGGACGGTAGCTGCGCAGGCATCGTCATCCGGTGAAATAGGCGATCTGTTGGGCGCGGGCGTATGTCGGGCCCTCGATGTGGACCCCAAGATGATGCCCTGGGGGAATTGATAGTAGGAATACTTTGAATGGTCTTGGCGAACTCATCTAATTCGGATAGGAGCAAAGATGTTATGTCGCATAATACCGTTTTCATTGTAGTAGCTTTGGACGCTTCAGGTCGCGGCACCCATGAAACATTATCCGGGCCATTGAACAGTTTCTCGACACCGTCATAGTCAAATATCAGAAGCTGGTGTACCAATGCCCTCAGGTTAGTCTGCTTTAGTGTTTCCAGTTCCTGTCGGAGTTGCTCCAGTTCGGTTGGCTCTGGAGGCCGATCGACTGCTGAGGATTTATCCCCGTTTTTCGTATCTTCACCTATTTCTGCTCCATCGGCAATCGCAATTACCACCAAAGGCTCACGGAATATTTCGAAGGGAAACAGCTCCAAGTGGGAGGTGGGCGGTACGGAATAGGTGAGGTCATAGAGAATCATCCCGGTAGGGAACGCCAGCGGGGAGAACATGTCTATGGAGAGAGATAGCTGTTTAGTGTGATTGTCGATTATTGCTGCTCAGAGGGAGTGTAATCAATTGGAGCGCCATGGAAATAATTTGTTAACATACTTCGATTTGGGCGCGCATCGGGACTAATATCACCCAAGCGGACCACATTCTCGGCTTGAAGTCTTGCAGCAAAGCTCAGGAACCGGGATCGCCTGATTTTGCCAATGGGCAGCAAAAGCGCCCTCAGACGCACTGGGGCAATGGGAGAGAGAGGATCGACCCCCATTATGTCGTCCGTATCCGGTTGATGCAGTCGCGTTCACGGTTGTGCGCAAGACTGCTTTCCAAGCACAGCGGGCAGGCGGGC